GGCCGTGAATGATTTCTGGGAGGTAGAGATAACAAATAAATGCAAATGTTATTCCTTAAATCTCACATGAAAAATAATATGTACATGAAAAAGCCTAACAATGATGATTCCCCCTCAGATATCTCAGTAGGATTTAGTCACACCTTCTGACAGTGGCAGCTGATGGCTTCCATGCCAGAAGGGGAGATGACTACTAACTAGTCACTACTTAGTAGTAACCCAATGTGTGTGTGTTTGTGTGTTGTGTGCCTTCAAGCTCTTTCCAACTTATGGCAACCCTAAGGTGAACCTATCATGGTGTTTTCTTGGCAAGATTTGTTCAGAGGTGGTTTGCCAGTAACTTCTCCTAAGGATGAGAATGTGACTTGCCAAAGGTCAACCAGCAGGTTTCGTGGCCGAACTGAGAATCGAACTCCGGTCTCCAGAGTCATAGTCCAACACACAAACCCCTATGCCATGCTGGCTCTCAAAGTACTGTGTCTCTGTGCTAGTTGCAATTGTTGCTATGTGCCTTCAAGTGAATTCCAGGGATTTCCTGGCAAGAATTAGAGGATGTCTGGCATTGCCAAGTCTCAGTCCAACACTCCAATCATTACACCACACTGACTCATTCTATTCTGCTAATAGGGGAGGAAAGGCTTAGCTAAAAAGTAGTTTGGTGTAAAAAAAAGTGGCCCTTGCTTTGAAAAGGGCTTTTGTCAAACAGAGGGCTTGTTTACACCAGTTGAAAACATCCTCCACAGCCCAAAGCTGGTGCTGACAGTCCTCAGGATGTATGGCAACTTCTGTTCTTTGGGGGTTCCTCCCCCCCTTTATCCTGACTTTGCCACAAACTTAGCAATGTCAGGGAAAATCTCAGAAACCCTGGAGTGATGTTGGGTTCGTTGTGCATATAGCCAGCTGGACTGGGTCTGATTCAGCCTGATCCACGTGTCCACATGCCAAGCGTGAGCCATCCCCTTTCTCCAAGCTAAGCAGCACAGAGAAAATGCATAGTCTGGTTTTGGATGGTCTTCTCATGTGAAAGAGCTCTGTATAAGGCTTCTAGATATGCTGTCACTTCTGCTGAGAGGTCAGAATAGGGCATCCATGTGATCAATCAGAAGGGGACAGAGTGACCCCTTCCCTGTTGATCACTTGGTGTGGCACCCAGTTTTGACCTCAGCAAAAGCAATGGCAATGGCCAGGCTGTCTCAGGAAGCTGCTTGGCCACCAAGGCTGCAGAGCAGCAACATCGAGGCTAGCAGGGCTGATGCGGTCGGTGTCAGTTCAGCTGGCCTGTGTGCACAGAGATATAATACAGCACCAGATTCAGCTTGGTGCATGTGATCACTATTATATGGGCCAGTCTGGGGCATAATGCTTTGTGTGATTAAGTGGTCAATGTAGACACACCCTGAGAGATGGAACAGATTCTCCATGTTTATTGTGAAGATTCTTACAGCGAGACCATAAAAAAAGCAGACTGGCTAAAACTGGTGAAACTTTCTGTTTCTCTTTCACAAGGTCACCTACTTGTATGACTAAGTTTTTAAGATCCCCAAACCTGGTACGAATCCCATAGAACAGTGGTTCTTAACCTGGGTTCGATCGAACACCAGGGGTTCGGTGAGTCAGTCTCGTGGGTTTGGTGGAAGTCAAGACACACATCCGATTCGGCGGAAGTCAAGACACACATCTGATGACACGCCCCGCTCGTCCATCAATGGCTGCAGGTGATAACCTGTATACGTTTTATATGTCCCACTATTTATATGCCCCATCCAACTAAACCAGCTTGTCCCGCCTCCACCAACAGAAGTGGCCCTCTGATTGGCCATGTGGCATGATTGACAGCGCGGCGGCCCACTCCCCTCACTGAATGGTGCTGACGGTCCGTCTGTATTGGCGGTAGAAGGGTTCGGTGAATGCGTAAGAATCGTAAGAATGGTTCGGTGAATGAGCATATGAAACTGGTGGGGGTCAGTACAAGGTTAAGAACCACTGCCATAGAACGTAGAAGCAAAGAAAAAGTTGATTTTGACAATTCTAGTTTATATCCACATTTTTGACATAAAATAACAATTGTGTCACAAAGGATTAGGAATCTTGAAACAAACTGAGCTATTAAAAGAGTCACAATCATTTTTAAACTACATCATTTCTCAAACACATTGATTTTGAGAACCATTATTTATTGTTTTCACTTGCTGAAAACCATTCTTATATAGAGAAAAGTTTGCTGTAGAAATAATGTATTAATAACAAAACTTTGAAAGTAGGCCTTTTAAGTTAGAAAAATCAGCAAATTTATCTGCTTACTTTTGACTTTTAAATGTAGTCTAAAGAGTGTTCAATCCCATAAATCTGATAATAATAATAATAATAATAATAATAATAATAATAATA